AATTGCAAATATAAAATGAAATACAAAAGACTCTAAAAGACCGAAAAGGGACTGACGCTCCGGATCGACCCCCTCTGTGACTGTACAGCTCTCAAACGCTCCTCTACCTCGACCAGCAGCCAGGGAAGACCTGAGAAAAATAAAGGAGAACGAGATGAGTATGAAAATTATACTCAGTAAGCCACCTACTTCTAGGCTTTCTTAGCATCTTAATTTAACAGAACTCCCACGGTTTTCTAATTCGGTTCTAGGACATCGGGTTCTAACCTTAGTCTCTTGGGGCTTGACCCTTGGGTTTCACCGGTTCATCGTCCTTTCATTAGTCACCTAGAGGTTCCTTATGCCAAGCTGATATGGTCGGTATCTCTCTATAAGGCGCTACCTCTACATGGCTATCTAGGACTACATGGTATCTAGCCTAGGGGTGTGCTGAATACCCCTACGCCCATATAGTCCTCCTATGGGGGGCGCGACCCAACCCGTTCCCATGCAGCTAATGGGCTGTACGACGTGGGGACACATTTCCCATGCGAAATGGCTAAGAGCAGTAAGGACTGATCAGGGACACTTGGTCCTCCCACGAAGCTATAGATACCGTTCTCACACTAGCAATATATGAACACTCCTAGGTACTTTCTTGCCATGGTGAACCGCTAAGTTCCTAGGGGAAAATTAAGTCTGGCTGGAGCGACATATCGCTCCTAACAATAATTCTCTAAGCTTGTCATAGAAATGGGCACTAGAAAATAACGGGGTGTGCATGCAACCGTCTTCTAACATCCTAATATTCATGCAAACTAGGCACGCCGGCTCAACGAGGCGATGGCCTCCATCCAGCACCCAAAACACGAAGTTCGCGCTCAATGGGGCGAATTCATCCATCAAGCACCCGGAACACGGAATACACAATTCCAACATAAATTAAACGCATGCATACGTACAACGGAAGCTTAAGGCATACAAGCAACACTCAGATAATTCACCCAACACATCATAACAATCCATCTGATTAATCTCATTCATGGAGAGCTAATTTAAGACAAAATTACTAACATGCATACATACAATCCAAGCGAACCCTACAAGTATTTCTTCCTAAATACCGGGTGGTGACTTACCTGGTTAACGCGTGCCCTTTTTGCTAGCGTTTCTTTGCCCGTGAGGTGTCCAAAAGTACTGATTTCTTTATATTAGGTCCCTATTCACGTAAGAACAGTATTAGAACTAGAACCGAGACAAAAATCGGGCGAACAGAACGCAACCGGGCCAAAATGGCCGTCCCACGCGCGCTGGGAGTGCGTGGTCACGCACGCGGGAAGGCGCCAGTCGCGTGCCCGCCTCCGCGTAGTCGCGGGTCGGCCGGTCCGGTCGGCTTGGCTCGCGTCGCGGTTCGGCCCGACTTGCAGGCGACACGTGTCGACGCCTCGCTGGAGCTGTGTTGCTCCAGCCGATGGTCGACGCGTGTCCGGCGCCTGTCGCCGCCGGCCGACTCCTTTATTTTTTTTATTTTTTATTTTTTTTCTTCTTCTTCTTCTTCTTTCTTCTCTGTCTTCTGAAAACCGAAACACAATTCTCTATTCTGATTTTCATATCTTTCGATCCGTAGATCGGATCGACATGATTTCTTCAGCAAAGTTTTAGATCGTGTTACGAGCTACGTCCTCGTATTTTTTTTGTAATTTTTGCTTAACTACCGGATGAGTTAAGAAGGTCGGAATTTCGCTCACCATTCTCGGACGACTCTCGGATCTCCGCCTTCGGGTTGAGGTCTCGGCCAAACTTCTTCACAGATCACGCGTAGAGTTGTTCCTAGATGAATATATCAAGATTTCAGATCTTGATTCACAAAGAAAAACTGTAGATTTGAGAAAACGTTCAAGATCCTTACCTTGCGGGTTTTCCGACTTCTTGATGAAAAATGGGACTCCGGCCACCCACATTCTCTTTTCCCTTCTAAGAAAGTCTCTCTGCATGATCTTCACTTCCTTGCATCATGATCTTCACCGGAATAGACTCCAACGGTAGTTTTCGGTGAGTCTTTCGGCGGTTCATCCTTTCTCCTCTCTCTAAGTTCTCTCTACCCCTTTCTCTCACTATCTCTCTTTTGCAGGACTATGGATGGGGTTTCGTTTGGACCCCTTAGGTGGTTGGAGGGGCAAATTTACCTATTTGCCCCTCTCGACTTTTCCTTTTTTTTTTCTTCTTTTTCTATTTCTATTTCTATTTTTCTTTCTTCGGGTATTACAAATTCTCCCCTCCTTAGGAACTTTCGTCCCCGAAAGTAGCTATCTCTTGGAAGGGTTCGGGATAAGCTTTCCTCATGTCCTCTTCTCGTTCCCAGGTTGCCTCTTCCTCACGGCGGTTACCCCATGAGACCTTTACCAAGGGAATATCTTTGTTACGCAACCGCCTAGTGTCTCGAACCAAAATTCTGCTAGGCTTCCCCTCGTAAGACATATCTTCTTGAAGAGGAAGCCTCCCATGCTCGATTACATGAGTAGGATCGAGAGTATACTTTCGCAGCATGGATACGTGGAACACATTGTGCACGGTGGCAAGGTTCGGTGGTAGGGCAATTCTGTAAGCCACAGCCCCAACTCAGTCTAGAATCTCGAAGGGGCCTATGAACCTTGGGCTCAATTTCCCTTTCTTTCCGAACCTCAACACCCCCCTCATAGGGGCCACCTTCAGGAACACGTGGTCACCCACCTCAAATTCGAGGTCCCTTCTACCCACATCTGCATAGCTTTTCTGTCGACTCTGTGCGGTGAGTATCCTCTACTTGATTTTCTGCACCGCTGCGTTGGTGACCCTGACCAACTCTGGTCCCAGTAGTTGCTGCGTGCCTACCTCTTCCCAAAACACTGGTGTTCGACACCTACGCCCATACAGTGCCTCTAAGGGGGCCATCTGAATGGTCGCTTGATCACTATTGTTGTAGGCAAACTCCATTAAAGGCAGATGTTCGTCCCCGAAAGTTGGCGTCTCTTGGAAGAGTTTGGGATAGGCCCCTTCCCGTCTTCTTTCCGTTCTCGAGTTGCCTCTTCATTAAGGTGGTTACTCCCACGAGACTTTTACTAAGTGGTCGCTCTTTCATACCAACACTTCGCGTCTTGGTCTGACCCGATAGGGTCTGGTACCCGTATAGGCGTACCATCTCTTTGACATATAACTTATCTCATCGATCTACTCGATAAGTGGTCTCACCTGGGATGAGGTGAGTTGTCTTGGTTGGTCTACCCCAAGTATCCAAATCACGTTACGAGTCTGTTTAGTCTTTGGCCAAACCCGAGACAAAACCCACACTCACTACTTCCCATTGAAGGATTGTAGCAATCTTGTTGGGCGCTATTTCGATGCCTCAACCTGCTAGCAGCATCGTCTTACGAAACCCGCCATGTCTCTCTTCATTCCCAAGCCACCCATAGTATCTCTTCAGATAACTTCGTACATCCTAGGTGGAACGTATCAGATGTATAGTGGCTTCAGCTAAAACGTCTTTTAGGATTTCCTCGTCTCAGGGAACACCTAGGCAGTCTTGCCAGTGTAGGACCCCGTCTGAGGGGATAGAACACCTAGTTGGCTTTTCCACCCTAGTCTGACTCCACACTTTGTTAAGGTGTTCATCAGATCTCTGGACATCAAAGACATGTTTTCATAAAGTGGGTTGCATGGTCATCTATGCTATCTTAGCGATATCACCATTAACTGCAACCCGAGTTTCTAGCATTCTTCCTTCCATCCTGTAACTTCCCTTGCTTGGTGATCATTGCAGACGTATGATCGATCTGTGTCATTCCATCTGTACGACCAAGTACTCGAGGCTCTTTAGTCAGTGTATGCTTGCACTTTTCTCCATGCTCGTAATGTTGCCATGTCTCCATGGCAAGCACGACTGCTCCTAGTTAAAGGTCATGAGTAGGGTAATTTTGTTCGTGCTCTTTCTGCTTTCTTGAAGCGTAAGCTAATGCCTTACCATTCTGCATAAGCACGCACCCTAAGTCCTTACATGAGGCGTCTCTATACGTTACAAGATTGTCTAGGCCAACTTGAACTGATGCAGTCACCAACCTTTGCTTAAGTGCCTGAAAACTCTGGTCGCCTGCTGGTATTCGTGTAGGTGCTACAGAGATCCTAGAAATATCACGTACGAGTCTTTCGAAAGATTTCTAGAAACTTCGTACCTTAGTGACTGTGGTCAGCTTTGGCCACCTCATAGCTACTTCAATCTTAGCGATGTCTACGATGAACTCTCTCCGCTTGACACCCCATAACTTCGGATGTCATCTCAGACAACCAACACCGGCACTTTGGAGATCTTAGTGCATGATCGATATGTTCATAACACCACCAAAACCTTCCTCAAGTGTTAATTGTCATATCGTCAAAGACGACTATAATGATGATAGCAAGAGAATCTCATGCACCTTCTATTTTTGTAAACTTACACTTTCTCATGACTCTGGAAGGGCTCGTCAGTAAACTCACCTTCCTCATGACTCTGGAAGGCAGTCCTCAACATGTCCCTCTCTTTGATCCTCATAGGAGGTATCCTTACCTTGTTGAGACCCTTACGATCCTTACTGCTTCACCAAAAATGGCCTCGTAACTGCATCTCATTTGGTTAACACAGGTCTTTTCTCATACGAGACGCCCCGTCACATGATTCGCTTGAGTAGTAATACTCATTTGGGCCATGTACGGGCTCTTTTGGAAGTAAGGAATCCTTGCATGAGTCCTTTGCGTTCACCTAGGCTAATTCATGCAGTATCTTTATGATTGAGCTAGTCACATCTCCTCTCGTAATGATTTCTCATCACTGGGTTTTTTTTTTTTTCAAGCACGTGAACCTTTCAAGTTCTTGTACCGTATTCTAGGGAACTCTCTGAAGACTCTTGTTTGGTAGCTAGTCTCCCTCAAACTTTGAGGATGCTATGTCAGTATCTTCTCTAAGACGTATCATGTCTCTGCTAGTCCTACCTGGTTACAAGTCACCATCTCACTACCGTCTGGTGGTCTTTGGCATCCTGTTGTCTAAGAGTTCTACCTCTATCTAAGCATGCTTCACGAGTATGGCGTCACACTCATGTGTGTAGCTAGAATTCTGCTCTTTGTAATCCGGGTGACCTATACGAGGGTAGGTTCTTACTAACACACATCTAAGTTTTCTCTCTCCAAACGGAGATAGCGTGACCATAGCTTGACCTCTTTTCCTGCTGTTCTCGACCCCGAGGTTCACCGGACTACCTTGACGGTTCCACGTCCTTTGCTTTGTGAGCACGCCTATCCTAACCAAAGGATAGATTAAAACTCGTTTTTTTTTTGGTGGTCCTAATAACCACGTGCTGCATTTAGACATTGTCCTCTCCACCAAGGTCCAAAGCGACTTATTCTCCAGTGGGTGATCCATCAATGGGTATATCCTGCACCCCATATCCCTTTAGTGGCATTAAGTGCACATCATGCTTTTGGAAGTCCATAACTGAAACTTAGCTCGTGAAGATTCCAACTGACCTTGAAGCCATGTCCTCTATAGCTTCACTCTCAATGTTGGTGAATCTTATTTCTCGACATCCAACTTAACCAAACTCACTTATGAAATTCGTTTGCTTGAGGGGTGCATAACTCCTATAGTGGTTGCCCTTGTCTATAAGAACTTTGTCTGGGTCTACTATGTGGTTTGCCCTAAGGCATGTTCTACATTGTCTAGGTCTACAATGTGGTCACAAAGGAGGCATGCTTGACATCTAGAATTATGGTCATGGGAGGCTGAGCCATAGGTATCCATCTCTTACTAGACCTTAGAAGGTCTGATATACATTTCTATGGGTTGGACGTCACGCACTTTGCGAAGTCACCCCTTTGTCTTCCTAGGGCCAGTAAGTTATAAGGTGAACCCTCTCGGCCTCCTAACAATAACTCAAATCTAACATCGACAGTAATAGAGTGAACATTCACTATAAACACTCAAAAGCATAATCATAGTTACCACTTTCCCAAGACAAACATCAAATTTTTATAGCCTTGCAACCACTCATATCCTACTAAACAGGGTTAGAATGCATACCTAGTGGCGGCGAGGCGTGTCGTCAAGCTGAGTCACAGAGGTGTACGACTCTCTATCCTAGAAAAAGTCCACAGAATCTAAAACCTTACTGCTCTGATACCAATCTGTCACGATCCGATTTTCGAGGCTTCGAAAACCGAATCGTGACTAAAAAGACGAAATCGAAAACAAACAAAAGGAAGGTAAAAGAATGAAAAGCAAAGTAAAAAGATAAAAATACTTTGAATTAAAACAAAAGAGAGAAATTTTGTTTGTTAATTATTACAAAAGAAATTGCAAATATAAAATGAAATACAAAAGACTCTAAAAGACCGAAAAGGGACTGACGCTTCGGAACGACCCCCTCTGTGACTGTACAGCTCTTAAACGCTCCTCTACCTCGACCAGCAGCCAGCGAACACCTGAGAAAAATAAAGGAGAATGAGATGAGTATAAAAATTATACTCAGTAAGCCACCTACTTGTAGGCTTTCTTCGCATCTTAATTTAACAGAACTCCCACGGTTTCCTAATTCGGTTCTAGGACATCGGGTTCTAACCTTAATCACTTGGGGCTTGCCCCTTGGGTTTCACCGGTTCATCGTTCTTTCATTAGTCACCTAGAGGTTCCTTATGCCAAGCTGATATGGTCGGTATCTCTCTATAAGACACTACCTCTACATGGCTATCTAGAACTATATGGTATCTAGCCTAGGGGTGTGCTGAATACCCCTACGCCCATATAGTCCTCCTATGGGGGGCGAGACCTAACCCGTTCCCATGCAGCTAATGGGTTGTACGACGTGGGGACACATTTCCCATGCGAAATGGCTAAGAGCAGTAAGGACTGATCAGGGACCCTTGGTCCTCCCACGAAGCTATAGATACCGTTCTCATGCTAGCAATCTATGAACACTCCTAGGTACTTTCTTGCCATGGTGAACCGCTAAGTTCCTAGGGGAAAATTAAGTGTGGCTGGAGCGACATATTGCTCCTAACAATAATTCTCTAAGCTTGTCATAGAAATGTGCACTAGAAAATAACGGGGTGTGCATGCAACCGTCTTCTAACATCCCAATATTCATGCAAACTAGGCACGTCGGCTCAACGGGGCGATGACCTCCATCCAGCACCCAAAACACAAAGTTCGCGCTCAATGGGGCGA